ATATATATATACTGACCAATTGTGCATACTATGCCAGAAAGACGAGTGTATGATGCTTTGGCATCGATGTCCAAAGCACACATGTGGGCAAGGTGTGAGTTTGATTGTTCCTGCTTCATTCTGATTTTGCACCCAATGGGATTGGGCTGTAAAATTAAAGATCAATAAGAATTAAAGTAGGCCTAAGACATAAATGTACTGTAGTATGCAATACAGATAAAAATCATTAATTCAAACTTGACAACAGTAAGTGCAAACAAACACAATTTCAAAGAAAAACATGCAAACTTATGATAAAGCAAAAAACTGAAAGAAAATAAATAATGTCATTAGCAGTTTAAAAACAATAACAAAAAAATAGTATTTCGGATGCTAGGGTCAGGGATACCAAAGGATAGACAACTTCTGGGCTACGAGACTCCAGAACAAACACTACATTCCACCCGAGATATATTTCAACACTTTCAGTGCCTATGATTTAGTGTATGGGAGCAAGACCATATAGTGGTCATGCCACACTTAATGTATTAAAAATACGTATTAACATGCTGCGCTGCAAATAAATGGGGCAACCAAAAATACATCCAATACACTAATGGGACCCAAGCTTAAGAACAAACCTACAGAGAGACATGTCAAAATGTCATCCAAGCATCTAAGCTTTGAAAAGTAACAGATATTTTGAGCTTTCTGGTGAAGCAAGGTCATTAAGCCACATTGTTGAAACCAAACAAACACCAAAATACTACTACACAATTATAAGCAAATAAAAAATTAGCTGTTAATACATTTTCATAAAAAAGTCAATATATGCATAATCCAAAGGGTTTAAATGAAAAGGAAAACAGCTACAGGACACATGTCAGATACTTGTTTTTACCTCATTTGTGTTATCATTGACAGTTGGCCAAACCATTGTTCTTTTACTAAGAAACCCGATCAAAGGAGATGCTCTGCGAGTAGAGGAGAAATCCTTAGGGAGACTGTTGAGAGCCCAGCAAGGACAGAGAAGCACACTTATTAGACGAGACCCTATCACCATGTATCAGGAGCTTCTTACCCCACTGACCTCTACTGCAACCCTGTCGTCTAGTGCTCAGCTGACTGAGCATTTCCTCTATCCATCCCCCTCTACTAGAACCAGACAGTAAAAATAACCCTTGAACCTCTGCCAAGGGCTCTACCTTGGAGGTAGAGGCCGCCCAAGCCAGCCACAGCAGACAGTCTCTGAGAAGCCACACTCCTGAGAGGCCAGCATCAATTTCAACACACAATTAATGAATAGACTAGTTGCTCCCATGAAAAAGTAAGTAGAAAAATTAGAAGTAAAGCCAAGGCCACACCATAATTTTGTCCCAAAGCCTCAGTAATGACATGCAAGTTCCAGTTTCGTTTTGAAAGATGAATTTTGACAGTGAAATTGATTGAATAAATTAAAATTACAAACGAGATTTGGTTATTAAGCATTCCTACAATAACAAAAGGTTCATGTTTTAGGCTAATAAAGTTAATTTTTTTTTTTTTTTGAGAATTACAAGTAATAGATTAAATGGCTTCAGTAATTACCTTACTAAATATTCCTTTAGTTTTGAGAATGACTTCCGAAACCACATCTACAATGTCTGAAAAATTTGTGAAAAATGAGAGTAAATTATTCCACAATTGCTGTTGAATTCTTTATCTTAAAATGTCAGAGAAGTTACAAAAATCGTTCCAGGTTCGTGTCAATTTTATGAAAGGATGGCGCCCAGGAGGTAGGCAACATCTGTGTCCTTGAGAAGTTAACAGTCGACTCGACCCCAAAGCCTTCACTTGCAAGGGCAGCAACGTACAAGATCGTCTGAAGAGGGCAAGGTTAAGCCCGATAAATGTGATAGAGAAATCGGACGAATCGGATGCGTAAAGGCAATATGTCAAACCCCAAAACGTACATAACCTCCAAGCGTGTCTGTCAAAGAGATCCAAGCTTCGAAATGCACTGAAAAATTAGAGAGGCGTTAGAGTCGACGGAAAACTGACGGAATACAACGTTGAACCACCGTCCTCAGCATTCAGATCACGCTGACTGCCTCGTGTAACTGAATGAGTGCAGGGAAAATGGTAATGGGTCCTCAAAGGACATGGTAGATGACATTGGGGCATCGCATCATGTTCGACATTTCCGCCTTGACGACGTCGGGAAGGAGAATACTCAATGAAACAAGGGCAGAAAGAGCACATGTCTCACACTGCGACACCCACCTGTGACGATTAGGAAGAAAGACGCTCGCTCCGCGGATCACAAACGACGAGTGGCAGACAGCACAGCAGCGGGGCAGCTCGGCTCGGGCGGACGGGCAGGGTAGGGGCAGGGTAATCCGAGGTTCGCGGGGGGGAGGGGGGGCGTCCTAGGTGCGCCCCAAGCCAAGGTCACAGTCACACATGGCACCGAGTTGGTCAAGCGGCCGCCCAACATTGTCCTGGAGGAAGTGGGGCATTCGAAGAACCGGAGTCTCATCCTGCGAAAAAAATTACCAGGAGTTAGGAATTGAAAATGTCATGATTTATTGCAGGCGAGCACACGACGCCGTGACAAGAGAGAGGCGTCGTGACGGTAACGTAAAGGTGGTTGAGGTTGGGCATCCGGCGAACACGGGCTTGACTAGCTCCCCAACAGCTGATGCAGCACGTGAAAGAGGAGTGGGGCCTGCCGTGCCATTGGGCTGTCATGGGCACCGTCAGCAAACGCCAAACAGCTTGAGACGCGGCCTTTTAAAAAAAATTCGAGTGGTGGCTGCCGCATTTTTTCCGTCTTATGTTTTTAAGTTATTCCTTCCCTCGCTGCTACATCCTAACATGCTTTCCACACGCATGACATGGGTGTCCTTGGGGGAGGATGGGGGGGGGGGGGGGCTTACACGTGAGAAGCTGTGGGCACGGAGTATCTCCAATCAATTTGATAGTGCTATCGCCAAAGGCGTCATAAGCATGATGAAGACACCCCCTACATCGTGCGATACTCCGTGCAAAACTCATGGTAACACGCATTCGTAATGTAGCGTCTTTTGAAACCGCACTATCCGATCTCCGGGAGAGGGGGGAGGTGCTTTGCTTGGGCCTTGCTCTCCGGAGGAGAGGAGTGGGGGCAGGCGGGCTCCATACAAACCGTATGTTTGATTTGTCAACGCTCTTTATCATAGTAGTGTCTCGACATGCTGCATCTCTATATAACTCCACGCTCCCCCATCACTCCCCGCACCCGCACCTGTCCACACTAAACGCTCTAAAGATACCCCACACTTCCTCACAATAACTGTTCCCGCCCACGAATAGTGAATGTACCGGGTGATTCAGAGACTAATGCGGGCGTGTTTTTGCGTACTCGCTCTGCCCGTAAGGCGCCCATGGCCCCTCAGGGTAGGCAAACCCGCCATCCTGCCCCTCCCACCCCTGCATCTTCTCTGAATCAACCGGTACGTAAACAAATACAATTTGCCCTCGTCCTCAAGGTATGGATCGGTTTCATTCATTCGCTTGGGGTGAATGAAAACGCGCCGGACTTAAGCCCCACCTGCATCAGGCCGCTGAACCGACCGATCATCGAACGCTGATGGCAGCAATAGGAGGCGCTCTTGGGCGACGATCCAAAGCGTTTCACTCGCGGGTCGGACCGGTCCGGCCCCTTTCGCACCCTTTGCGCCCTCGCGGACGCGGGTACGAGGGTACTCCCTGCATGACGTGCGAGTGGGCAGCCGGCCCCGCGCGGGTGCCCGGCACCGAGCCTCGCGCCCCGAAGCGAGCAGAGTCCTGCACGCGACTGGTAGGCCGAGCCGAGCGGGTCTGCTGCAAAAGCCTGCGTTACCCTCGCGGCATTTGCTCGGCATGTGGGCGCAGGCAGGCGGGTCCGCGGAGGGATAGCGGCGAGCTGGCCCTAGAGGGGACGTGCACAAACTACCTACATCATTCGAAAGAAAAGGGTGGGGTACTCTTATCACGGCCCTCAAATCGGGATACCCAAGCTTTTTAAACGCCGTAATAAAGGTACCCCACTAGGAACTATGGGTTTAAATTTTTTCTGGTTCCATGTTCGTCCTCCAAACGCTTCCAAGTGTAAATATCCCGAGCTCACAGGAAGTGCCTTGAAAGAGCACACCACCCACCATAATTTGTGTATAGGGCGTATCAGAGTGGACGCCACAGTGTTGAGGGTTTGCCTAGTCCCTCTTCTCGTAAGGCGCCATAGCCCATGGCCCCCGGCAGCTGAAGAGGGTATGCAATCCCACAGCACCGCTGCGTCTGCTCTGATTCACCCAAAATAAACCCCGGTACGTACGACTCGCTAAGTAAAGGTATAGGGCAGCCGGGAAGCCGAGCGGCAAGCCGGTACAAAGACACACAACACACTTCCCATAGATGCAAGACAAGACGGACTGAGGGATTTTCTGTAGTGAGGACCCCATGGATCCGTAATTTTCCTGGGGATCACTTGCCATGACAGGCCTTAGTAATGTCGCGGGAGCCTAGGGAGCTGTCGTGTGATGGAATTGGGGGGGAAGGGGGGGGCGAACGAAAAAACCAGGGATTCAAAAGGGGGGTGGGGGGCTCTCTGTCCCGACTACAACGAGATTGGATCACGGCGCAGTAATACTACAACAAGCACCGCGCTGAAGGCAACATGTGTCCCTTGTTTGCTTTGAGACCAGGGCTCCATAACTTATCGAAAAACAGCATGAAACGTTAGTTTTCACGTTAAAGTTTAACGTCTAACTTATAACGATTCCGTGAGATATAACGTTATTGGTTGTAACTTTTCAGATACGTTATCAGAATAACGTTATTGACTTAACTTTCCAGATACGTTATCAGAATAACGTTATTGACTTAACTTTCCAGATATGTTATCGCGATAACCGTTATATATGTAACAAACATGCTTTTAACGGATATACGTCAGTTACTGTTCGTGGTTATAACCAAACCTATTACAAAATATCTAACCTAAAAAATGAATCCTTCTGGGTTTTCAATGTGTAGTGCAGTAGAGCACAGTCGCATTACAACCTGTCCAGCAATAATGACCGTACGCCTTACGCGTACCGTGTGTTCCGGAGTACGAGCCGCTGCACGTTGGTTTGCCTATCCAATCGGCCCGTAAGGCGTCGTGGCCGTGGCCCCTGTGAGTAGGCAAACTAACTCGCAGCGGGGCGTGCTCCGAAACACACTGTGCTCCGTGGTGGCCCCGAGCACGCCCTCAAGTGCGACACTAGCGTACCGGGCGGCGCGGGCACCGCCAGCAGGGTGACTCCGTAGGGCGCATCAAGCCAAAGTCGTCCTCACACTTTCCTGGTTCCTGCCTGTCACACTTCCCCTAGACGCGTGACGTTATGTTTGGACGACCTTTAATCGTCACGTGGCGGGAGAGAGAGGACCCCTGTGCGCCCTGCTGGATCGCCCTGCAGGAGCGCGTCAACGCCGACCCCTCGGGCTCGGCTGAGAACCAGCTTGACGAGCAGGTTTAGTCCGTATGTGCAAGGCACGGGCAGGGCAGGGTGCGGCAGCGGCAGCAGCACGGCCGCAAGCGGCTCCGCGCCCACGCCGTCCAGGGTGAAGTGCAGGCAGGGCACGACGGCTGCGAGCGGCTCGGGGAGCTCGGACCACTGGCCCTTCCCTTCACCCGGACGTTTGGCGCCACCGCCGTCCTGGCCCTGGGCCTCACGACCTGCGGGCCCCGCGCACCGCCCACCTGTGACCTGCAGCTGCGGGTCCCAGGCCCCGAGGCCTGCGGGCCGGCGGCGCCCTACGGACCCCCTTGCCGCCCTGGCCAGTCCGCATCTTCTCTTGCCGACGCTGATGACTGACGTCACGACGGTCGTGCAGCGCTAACGAGATGGCTCGCAAGCTCGGTAGGCTCGATGTATCGAGAGCGGTTTCTCGCTCGGTCACCGGCCCGGGCCGGCGCCGCTCACCGGAGCGGAGTACAGTGCTGAGTGAGTGACCGGAAGGAAACCTCAAACATGCATCGAAGTTCGTCGAGGTCATCTTTGTTGTCCGAGACGGACAGCAACGGGGACCGCGTTGCAACCCCTGTGAATGTGCCCGTGACACCAGCTCCTGCCAAGAAACGGAAGAAACGGGAGGCGAAACACCCTGTCCACACCATTCTTGTGTACCATGAAGATGACAATGACTCGTGGTGCACTGTTGCTGGCTGCACCTACAAATCACCGGTAAGTGTACATATATTTAGTTGACATGTGAACGATTGTTTTCAAAGGAACATTATTATGTGCTGGGAGTGGTAGCTGAGCTAGACGAAGCGCGGTCGCTCGAGTGTGTTTGTGTTGATTTCGGACGCAGCTCCAGTAGGCTGGCTGGACTGGCCGAGCCCCAGCCGGGGGGGCGGGCAGGTTGGGAACCCTGTACTACATTTCCCGCTTTACTTTCGTTGCTATATGAGTGCATATTTGTTGATTCTTTTCTTCTTCTTCTTCCTCTTATCACCTCGCCTGAAATGGTCTATTGGAGGGAGGGGGGGGGGGCGTTCCGGGAGCATCTGTGGCGGGTAAGAGCGAAAATCAATGTAGTCATTCGGTCTCATTTCTTTGATCGAATAAAGGATTCCGGTAAAGCTGAAATGCAGATG